CTGCGGGACCCGCCGGTCAAGGACACGATCGCGGTGCCGCAGTCGGTCGGGGACGCGCCGTCCGGCTGGGGGTACGCCGTAATCCGCTTCCGAGCGGACAACCCGGGCGCGTGGGCGTTCCACTGCCACATCGACCTGCACGCGGCGTCGGGGATGTTCTCTGTTATTGCCGTGCGGCCACCCAAGGGAGCCAAGTGGTTTGCGCCCTCGGGCGCCGCCTGCGGGGCGGCGCCGTAGGCTGCGTTTTGACGGCTGACATAACCATGCGCGTCAGCTTGCGCCGCCCTTGTTCACGAGTTCGCCAGCCGCTCGCCTGCTTGCTTGACTTTCTGTGCGCTTGTGTCCACCCCCTCAAAATCTGGGGCGTTGCGCCTTGACAACACTGCCTATCCACAGAAAGAAACATTCGGGGGTATCAAAGACAATGACAGGTCGGCGCAAAGCAAAAGCATTGCTGTTTGGCAACACAGCACGCGTGCGTGCCCGGCTCCAACGCACGCACGATGCAGCTTCTGTACTGCGCTCTCTTGGCAGGAGCATGTCTGCCACCCACCCCACGTGAGACGCATGTCAGTGGCGCTTTCACTCACCCTTGCCAGCCCGCCATTTTGGTACTGCACAACCGGCGCTGGCCCAACGTCCTCAAAGGCGGGCGGCTCGCCGGCCTTTGAAGAGGCGGACACCCCACTGCGCCCTAACCGGGTCACTGTCGCCTGACCCTTGCGAAAGCCATATTGAAGCCGGAATCTGAACCGCCCAACTACTGCTCCCGCTGTCTGCCCCGAACCGCACCTGCGCCCATGAAGAGCACTGTTTAAGCACAGCGCGAGCCCACTTTTGTGCTGATCAACATCTTTGATGCTTTCTTTGACACACATGCCTGATGAGAGGCATCGTGAGACTGCACTGCTTGCATCCCCTGTGTTGCTGGGCTGTTTGCTGGGGGACCGGGTGTACAAGGCGCTCTCTTGCACAGGCGTAGGCGCGCACGCGCACCACGCACCTCAATTCCCGGGTCTGCAGTTGTCAGGTAACAATACCCTTTGAATCTCTATCGCAGCCATCCAGCAATGACTCCATGCTGCACGCCGATGATCATGGCAAGTTTCTGGAATAGTAGCCAGCAAGGCTACCGCCTTGACATGTGGACCAAAAAGTTCCCAAGTACAGTACTGGGTGAAAGGTGCAGAATGAAAGAACAGGTGTGTAAAAACCTGCTGGTCGAGTGGTCTGACCGAAATCAGCGTTGTAAAGTAGGTGAGCCTATATCTGAATCAGACAAACTCACCTACTTTACGATGAATCAGGCAGCGCTGGTCTAAACAACCTGCTGGTCGAGTGGTCTGACCGAAATCAGCGTTGTAAAGTAGGTGAGCCTATATCTGAATCAGCAAAACTCACCTACTTTACGATGAATCAGGCAGCGCTGGTCTCGTCACAGCTGGGGGTCTGTGGACTGTCGATCAATTGGACTTGCCAGCTCAGCACACGGATGGTATTTTTTGCACAGGCAACAAGGCGAATCGGCTTAAAATGTTTGTCACCCCCTTGTAATGCATCATTCTGTCCTCGCTCGGCGTACAGTACATCGACAGGCAGCACACCGAGACTGACCAACGCAGTCGCAGTTCGCAGAAGTCAACCGCTCGTATCAAAGCCGTTAAATTACGATTGACCCATGTTAACAGCATGGGATTGTTCTCACGCGGACCTGCCAAGGCACTCCCGCCATTTAGTGCAGCACAGTCGGCAGCGCGAGCGGCAAGCAGCGCCGCTTCACCGTCAGCTGCACCCACAAATCTATCCTCAGGGCAGCAACAGCAAGAGGATCAGCAGCAGCAGCACGTACAGCAAGAGCTTGATGAGCCACCAGAACAGCAGACGGCCGTCGCCAGTGCCATTGCGCAGCAGCAAGATCAGCGGCGCGCTTCTGGGGGGTCGACAACGGTGGCAACAAAGGACGACGCACATCTTCCCGGCCCTGGGGCTGAGATCAGGCGCCACAGCAGCTATGACGAACTCCGAGTGGTAGTTCCCGGCTCGCAGCCAGACGAGCGTCCGCGGAGGAAGCCAAACGCCGCCGCAGCCGCGGCGGCGCCAACGGTGCCCGCGGGCACGCCGCCGCGGGCAAGGCCGCCGCCGCCGGCGCCCAAGGGGCGGCCGACCGCGCCCGGC